GGTCCGTGTTGCAAATGCAGGCGGTAACCAACGCTGTCGTCTTTCTGTGTTTTTCTCTCTTACCAGATTTTGGATTTTGACCCCCCCTAAAAAACGACATAACTAAATGAGAGCGTGAATTGCAGCGGTGCTGTGACGTGTGTAGACATTTCAATGTGTTGATGGTAAAAGAAAATGCAAAAGCACATGTTGTTCCTCTCGCCTGTCTCTCACTCTGATACCAGCAGCACCACAGTCTGTCTCTACTACACCGTAACCATGGGAACTACTTCGAGGTGTGGACTAAAGGGCTGCTTTGAACCTTGACTGAGCATACATACATCTGTAATTCTACGGAATGTAGGACAAGACAAGTTTGAAACCTAAAACAAGTCTTGACTGTGTTTGGTCAATGTGTGGTAAAAGTGTGGCCAGACTGTGACGCGGAGAGTCAGCAGTAATGGGATTACTCATCCAATTTCAGTTACATGCCAACACACAGTGGAAAGGCATTGGTTTGCGTTACTTTGATCTTTACTTGGGTATTCATGGACAAGCTGAAAGCTACAGTGTACATGGAGTAACACAAGGAGCTACTGCTGCTGTCTTCTCTGCACTGCACACTGTTGCCCTCATTCATTTAGAAAGAGTAGAAATTAGAAATAGCACCCCTAGTGGTGGACATTATATGTTACAGTATATTTACTAATAGAAGTGTTAAACCATAAAAGCATAACCATTGACTGTATTAAACTAAAAAGTATAGTCACGGTATGAATTGAACACTGTAAGAATAGTCCCTGAATGTTTTGAACCATGAAGGAAGGTGAGGGATTTTGAGTGAGGCTTTTCAGATACGCCCATATGAATGAGTGAAGGATGAAGGTGTATGCTGCTTTAAGAAAGGAGGGGGGCCGGTTCAGAAGAGGAGCGATTGACCAGGCCAGCGGGTCAAAGGCCAGGGGCTTATTGGATTTCAGCCAATCACTGAGCTGATACGGAACAATAAGACACTGTTCCTGAGGAGATTCTCCAGACCTCATGTGACCTCTGGACAGATAACTAGCTAGGCTGGACTGTGTGGAGGGTTTCATTGGGTCTCTGCTTCATGGAACATATTTCTACCGATAGTGTAATTCAGTTTGTAACTGTTTTAGCTTCTGTTAGATATGAAATACTTTTGATCATAACTTGAACCAGCTGAGTTTTTCGGCACGGCTCTGCTGAGAAAAGACGCAGGAGTGGGCGACGTGCGGCCTTCCATATTTCAGAGAGAGGTTCTGGACTCAACATGTGCTGACTAAATAACTGAGGGTTAACACAGGGAATCCTTACTTATGCCCCACACCAATGACAAGTGAATAATTGATCTATTCTGCAACTAACATGTTAATATGTAGCAGAGCTTGACTCATAAATAACATGTAACTTATATTGGATATCTCAGAGTCTGCATGTATGTCTGCTAATAAGTACCAAGACATTGCTGTTAGGACATGCCAAAGACACGTTAGAGGTCAAACAGTGTTCCCGTTACATCATTTGTCACAAAAGACCCACAAGTATATTTTTTCATTTTAAAAGCTTCCACACACACACATTATATATGTTGGTCACACTTCTTTAACAGCCAAATCTTAGGGATCCTTATCAAAAATGTATGAATGAATGAATGAATATCTAAGCAATTAAACTACCATATATCCATGATTTTATGTAATGCGACATTTAACATGGCCTCAGTTAGGGCCCAAGCACCGACAAGGACCCGATTGAAACTGTAAGGATTATTCTTCTTGGGGGCTTTATCAGACTCAAACACTCACCAAAGATGGCATGCATATCAGGACTGGTGAAAAATTTGATATTTTAGGGGTCTCGCATTTGGGTTTGAAAAAAATGGCTCTATGGCGCCCCCTAGAGTTCATTTTAAGTTTGAAAGGCCACACCCCTCGCCCCCCATGACCAATTGATGTGAAATTCCGCCTACTTAGATTTTCCGCCATTTTTTATTTTATGAAAAACATTTTTGCAAACTCCTCCTGAACGCTGGGTCCGATTGCTACCAAATTTCCTGTGTATCATTATTGGATCATCATGGATTATTAAAAGCTTGTTGATATCGCATTGTGTAAGTTACATACCTGCAAACTCATAAGAGGTGAAAAAGGTGACAAGCCCGAAACCCTGTCGGGGGGCGGGTGCATGCTCCCCCCGAGAACTTTATTTTAAATATGAGCTTTAAAATGTAGCTTTCTGCTTTACTCTGAGAAGCGCCACCTACTGGCAAAAGGAAATGACAAGTTTTATACTTTCATGTACTGCTCCTAGCCAGTTGACCAGATCAGTCTCAAATTTGGTATAGGAAGACTTAAAGACTTAGACATTGATGATGATCATTTCCAGCGTCATACATTCGAAAAAAACTTGGGGGCGTGTTGTCCGAAGCGCACAGACATTTGCAGCCGCGTCCCGCCAGTACCCTCGACGTGCACAGAGGTGCGAGGGCCTGTTCATCGCTGCTTGCAGCTTTAATTATATCTGTGTTTGTGATCCAAGTGATATTTGTTGTTTGAAAAAAATCATATGAGCACACAAACTGGTTGTCTGCACACATGAAAACACGTGGCTGTTCCGTATATGTGAAGCGTAAGGTTTTGTTTTCTCTGTGTACATACAGATCTATTGCTGCAGTCATGAAAGAGTACAGTAAAACAATATGAGCTCATTTTATATGTAATCGTCTGAACAAGGTCACTATTAAATCAGAGAAACACTGAATATTGTACTGCATTGTTTATGTCAAATCAAACTTTTCATCCACATCTTTTCCTTATGGTAGAAAAAAACTGTCAGGCTTTTATTCTTCATTTTCCTTTGAAGCCGGTAAGAAGCTCCATTGAGTCATTTCTCTTCCCAGAACAACATGATGTTTGTGTTTACAAATGCTGCTCAAGTTGCTGTCTAGAATGTGTGAAGGAAGGTTCAGGTATTTTATGAAATTTCTAAATTAATTTCTACAGTTTGGGAAAAAAAACAGGGCCTTAGGGGATATACCATTTCTTGGGAAAGGAATACTGAGGACACAATAATAATATGACCAAAAATATATGAAGAGAACGAAATAGAAAACTAAATAGATGACTCACTGTATTATATCATCTGGCACAATAATACAATAGCACAACACTGAGATTGTCTCATAATCAACGGCAAATACACAAAGTCAGTGAAGCTAACCTCTAAACCATGTGACCCTGATTCATCACTAACTACAGAGCAACACCACAGACAGAGAAGGAAGCAAATGTGAGAAACAGTGTGTGCTTGTTACTTACTTACTACTAAAGCACGGTGGAGATGTGTTCCCTCTTTTATCATTTCTTTATCTGTGCTTTGAATTATTTAGGAATTGATTTAAGAAGAGTTGAATTTCACCTCATAGAGTACACAGGGAAGATATCTGTAAAAACCGAAGGATTATTTGGCAAAATGAGCTAATGTGTTATGAGCTATATACTATATAAATATAAAGCTATATAAATGAGCTAATGTTAAAACCACTATCAGATACCTGGACATATATAATGGAGGCTTGGGGGAAAGTTAGTCAGTATGAATGAATACAGAGGCTTTATTTGACTCCTTCTGAGCTCAACATGACGGGCTTGTTGAACAATTTATGTTGGAAATGTCGGACAGAGAAAGGAACATCCGTACATGCGATTTGGGAGGGTCAACTTATCTACCCATTTTGGGAAAACATACTAGAATACATAGGGAAGTGGTTAGGTTCGACTGTGCCAATTCGGGGACCAAACATAATTGTCCAATTTATTAAAATATGACTTTGCAGTGATAAAGGTCTGGTGGAAAGGACTTGTAGTCTGGCTTTCATTGTGAATGTGACAATGTCCTCTTAGAGTGCAGTGTCCATGAGGAATGAGTTGTTGTTGTTGTTGATCATGGTGTAAGTCTAGATGAGTTGGCTGGACACCTGTAGATGTTTGCAGGTAACCAGGTCCACCGTATGTGGCTGTTGCCTTGACGGAGATGAGGTGCTCAGTTATGTTCTCTGAGGCCGTCACAGTTCGAGGGTCAGGCTGCTCTTTCTCCAGGGACACTCCCGTTCGGATACTAAAATCATTCAGATCCGGCCAATCTGACCAGACCCCAAACACAGGGTGTCGAGTTTCCTGCTGGGTTCTCTTCCGGATCCAAGAGAGTGGGAATCTGACTCGCTGTCCAGCAGGACTTTGCGTCTCCTTTGGTCAAGAAACAGGGATCCAGCTCCCTAATCCAAATCCATATCATCAATCATAATTTAGCATATTCAAAAGGGGGGATATCGGTCTCAGAGGACATTATAACTGACCGCAAACTTCTGTTTTACCACACTACCGTGCACAGCTCATTGTCCAAATCCTTTTTGCTGTGACTCCTCCCCTCTCCAGCATTGTTGGAAAAAGAAGCGAGACCTACCTGTGTGAATGCTGTGCTTGAGCTTTGCTCTTGTGTGTTGGTGTAGTTAATTCTCTTTCCAGGTTTATTTGGTGACACCTGGGAGATACTTGATGTCCTCACAGATCCATATTCTTCATTTAAGTTCTCAATCTAACTATACGTTTGTCATCCTGGCTGTCCTGAGTGTAATTGTATTGCAAAGTGTAGCAATTGAACATTGTATGATTTGTGATATTGGGCTAAATAAATCAAGGAGCAGCAGAGTGTTTATAGCAGCCGCTTTTATCATTTCTTCTCTATTTGAAAGCAACTGTAAATCCACAGCTCCGCAGCTGATAACTATTAAAAAAGACATATGGTTGAATTACACTTGTGACAAGTAATTGGCAGAATTGTGACTGATGCATTTTGGAGAATACTTGATGGAATTTCTCCAATAAATGTCACAGTCAAATCCACTTGGGGGTGCTAGAGAACATGTGTGTGCAGCAGAGGGAACCCTTGGTTTGAACTATGTTTAAGAGACATGATAGAACTCAGAGTGTGTGTGTGCGTACCTGTGTTCGTAGGATCTCTCCTTTGGTTAGCTGCATGTCTCCAGTGAGTTCCTTAACAGTGATGCCCAGTGGCTCCAATCGCTTACTGAAGTACTTAGTCATCTCAGCTGCCAAGGCCTTCATAGGAGCCACATATATGATCTACAGGGAGAAGGACACAGATACATACTGTAGGACAGAGAACAGATAGGGTAGAGTGGGGGTGGGGGGGCATAGGAGAGCAGGACTGGAAGGACACCATGGTGATAAATGAGCAAACAGAGGCGGGATCATTTGTTCCTTGGCAACCAGCACAAACCACAATTTATTGAGAAAAATTATGGGTAAAGTTTATAGTGATGTATGAAAAGTGGCTGTGGTCACTAGCTGGAACTGTGCAGCGCTGTGTGTGAGCGGATGTGTGTGTGTGTGTGTAGGCCTTCATGAAAGAGAACATAGCCTTTTGGATGTCTGAATTATTTAGCGAAGTGTGTGTTAGGATTTGACACGATGGCTTTATGAAGGCGTACTAATATTTTTAGACTAACCTGCCAATAGCTGACTTTTTGTGCATATATTGAAGATTATATTTACCAATTCTTGCTGTATTTAATTTTGTCCCCTTTCATCAATTATTTTTCAGGATGAAGTATTCAAGATAAACTTGTGAAACAACATTCATTGTGAAAACTGTCTCTGTAATAACTGGATGAAAAACAGACAACCCGCAGTAAGGCAGGAGGCTGTCATGAAGCTAGGGAGGGTGGAGACACTGTAGGCCGGGCTCTCATCATCAGGATGGGTTGGCCTTTCACTTGAGTCCTTTCATATTCACTACCTTCTTTCCCTCCACATTACACTGCACACTTTCAAATCACTGAACAGCTCTACGTTATAACCCTGTTGAACGATCCCGGATCTAATGATGATTTAAACAGGGATTGGTTGTTCTCAATGTAACACTATCAGAGATCAGAGACTAGAAAGCATTAATGATGTCCTGATCACATGTTTTAGTAAATATTGGAGGATAACGATCATCAGTAAAACTTTATTTACACTGTGATGGTTAACGTTAAGCTGTGTCATAGATTGTGTTCACGTGAGGGGATCCGTACGGACCACAGATCGACAGTGGTCCGTTACACCACTAGCTGGAACAGTTTCTATTATTTCAGTGACATATTTTTGCCGATGCTGCTTTATTTTAGCTCTACTTACTGCTTTAAGGTGGGTTGGACAAAGGCAATGTCATGTGTTTTGTATGCACCAAAACATAACATGTGAGGATGTTCAATCAAATCTGATAAAACCACACCCACACAGTCCTGATGGGGATTAGCTTAGTTCTTGAGTTTTAAACTCCTAATAAATAGAACCTACTGTAAGGATGTTATTTTCTGAACTTGAGAGTTGCTTATGTAGGGAAATATACAGTCATTTTTAAAGCATTTAAAAGCACTTCATCTGAGACTTTATGAATAAATAGCATACAACACGACGTTCCTCTGATATGTTTAGGTATTGTTTTGTGGTGTTTTATAAAACATCTGTAGAGAGGAGTGGAGGTGTCGGCGTATTGTAGAAGTTCAGATAAAGCTCTCACTGAACGTGTGTGGTGCTCCTGTATGGAGCCAAATCCAGGTCAATAGTTTTGATCATTTGAAAAAAAAAAAATGACAACCTGAAAGTTCAAGTTGTGGTCTTGAACATTGAAAAATACAGCAATGTATTCAAAATAAAAATAAGTGAATAAAAAGTTATTTGGGGTTGAATATAATTTTGATTTAGTTCTGGAATTGTACATTCAAGATACATTTTTTTCATTTTTCACTTTCCTATATATTTTGATATTTGAGTTCTTATATTTTTCACTTTCAAATCTTCTTTTTTTCGGTTTCAAATCGTTTTTTTTTCAGTTCAGACTTTTGTCCCTGATCTGGCGTGGGGGGCGTGGCATCAACTGAGAGGGGCGTGTCATCATGAGTGACAGCATAACAAAGAAGGCTGAGGAACTTCCTCAACCACGTTGCCTTCAAGTAGGCACCGCGAGAATTATAATTCAACACTTTCTATACACCATATTCACGTGAACAGTGTTGCCAACTTGCCGACTTTCTCGCTCAATCTGGCGATTTTCCAAATCCTCTTGGCGACTTTTTTGTCAAAAGCTACTCGCGACAAATCTAGCGACTTTTCTGGTGTTTTGGAGACTGATGTGAAAGAACGTATCGTTCTGCAGTTACTGTCCTCCACGTGCAGCGGGTGCTGCCGTGAGCCGCTCCGCCGTCCCAAAGCACACACAGGCGGTCCGTCTCACAGCAGCCTCGCGCAGCAGACCAGCTGCAGACTATGCAGAGAGGAGACCCACTCTCTGCGTCCAGACTGCAAATGAATCGCGCATGCGCAAAGCCACCGCTGGTTTACAGAGCGGGATGTAAATATGAATGTCTTTTAAAACAGAGAAACTCCTGCGTATATGGACTGACAATGCCTCCGTTATGACGGGGATTAACAATGGGGTCCATAAGAAGTGATGGGCTCTTTCCATGGCAACATTTAAAAAAACAGACCAAGAATCAACAGAAGAAATTTAATTTGTAGTTCTGAACATTTTTAGGGTGTTTTTTAACTCACTTTTTATGATAATGCAAATTAGGCAATGACATCATTTAGCGACTTTTAGGACAGCCAACAGCTACTTTCCTTACTGAGGAGTTGGCAACACTGCACGTGAATTGTGAGAAATTTAAGTTTTAAAGCTCCTAATTATGAATATTATGTGATACAGTGTATTTACTTGTAGGAGTTTGAACCAAGTAGTGTGTTTGAGTGTCTGTGTGATCAGGTTTGAGGAATGTGCTGGAGCGGGGGTTGTGTGAAAGTGGCTGGGAGAGGAGGGGCTTGTTGGACTTCAGCCAATCAATGAGCTGATCGATGAGCTGAGGAATGTAACTCTGGGGGGACAAAGGGTTTGAAGCTCTGGGGGATTTCAGATCTTCTGCGGGCAGCCGAGGAGGCAGACCAGCCTCCTGGGTGGCTCGGATTGGATCTCACATTTCATTTTATATATAGGTGTGTTTTGTTATTAGTGGTGTGATTCGGTTTGTAACTGTTTGTAACTGTTTTTATGCTTCTTGGATAATAAATCCATTTGATTTTGACTTAAACCTGCTGGTGTGTTCTGGAGGCGATTGAGAGCACATGGCTGCAGGAAGGGGGGGGGGGGATTTCTCCCTGTGTTCAAAAGTTATGGCCATAACAGAATGCAGTGGGGAAAAAACTGTGAGCGCCAGCTATCCTGAAGGAAACTTCGGAGGGAACTGGTTCGATTAGTCTTTCGCCCCTATACCTAGGTCGGACGACCGATTTGCACGTCAGGACCCCTACGGGCCTCCACCAGAGTTTCCTCTGGCTTTGCCCTGCCCAGGCGTAGTTCACCATCTCTCGGGTCTTATCGCATGAACTCACGCTCCACCTCCCCGACGGTGCGGGCTAGACGGGCTAGTGGTGCGCCCGACCCCGCGGGGCCGGGATCCCACCTCACCCGGTGCGCTGGCCCTCACTTTCATTGCGCCACGGGGTTTGCTTCAACCTCTGTCGGCAACCAACGCCGCAGACCCATGACGTCTTTTACTTGAGCCGATCCCCGCCCTGGTGACGCGGTTGGGGCGCACTGAGCTCAGTTTTTCCCCCCACTGCATTCACGTGAATATGGTGTATAGAAAGTGTTGAATCATAATTCTCGCGGTGCCCACGTTACCTGAACTCCTCAGCCCTCGTTGTTATGCTGTCACTCATGATGACACGCCCCTCTCAGTTGATGCCACGCTCCCCACGCCAGATCAGGGGCAAAAGTCTGAACTGAAAAAAACGATTTGAAACCGAAAAAAATAAGATTTGAATCTGAAAATATAAAATCTGAAACTGAAAAATATAAGAACTCAAATATCAAAATATATATGAAAGTGAAAAATGAAAAAAAATGTATTCAAAACAATTCCAGAACTTAATCAAAATTATATTCAACCCAGACTTTTCATTCACTTATTTTTATTTTGAATACATTGCTGTATTTCTCCATGTTGAAGACCACAACTTGAACTTTCAGGTTCAGTTTTTTTTCAAATGAACAAAACTATTGAGCTGGATTTGGCTCCATACTCCTGCACAATGTCCTTCAAATAGACACAAAACTTCAGGTCTCTTTCATAACTCGGTGCTGACCGGCATGTTGTCATGTCATTTATTCAAACTAGGGATGAGTACCGAGAAGCAGTCTTAAATTGGTACAGGATCCTGATTGGCCAGAACTGCAACACCGATAAACTCCTTCAGCAGTCGTCATTTGACCTTCATTCATTTGTTGAGCGTTTGCTGTTCTGTTTGCCTGAAGATAAAACTAACTCGTTTCTTACTGATAGCGTTGCATGACTACGTCAACACATGAGCCTCCATCTGGAGGAGAAGGCTGGTCGATTTCCAACGGTTTACATGGAACACAGTAAATAGCTCATCAGTTAACAGTATGCCATGATCTCTTTGAAGAAAGAAAAGAAAGAGAAATTAAGGCCACATTGAGGATTGGTGTGCCTCGATAGAGTCATAGAGTATCGATGAGTATTGATGGAAATAAGCAGCACCTAAAGCCATAAAGTCCTAACGAAACCCATCACCAGCACAATATCTTTGACCGCCCGTGTAACTGTCACAAACAGTAACATGTAATTGTGTAGGTAAGTAGGCTATCTGGCCTGCTAGCAGCTCTTCCTGGGCTGGTTAAAGTCTCTTTGATGCCGTTCTCTGACTCTGTACATCAGATGTCTCAGAAGTACCTCACATGTAGGAACACTAGAGATGGGTAGAACGAGCAGTGTTGTATGGTGTCCCTAGATTGTGTGGTTCTGTGTCAGCGTCAGACCTTGAATTCATCCTTCTTGATGACGCCCCCGGGCTGCAGGTGCTGGTGGATCTCGTGAAGGACCGCCAGCATGGCGATGTTGGTCTTGCCGGCGCCAGTTGGAGCGCAGATGAGAAGGTTCTCGTTGGTGTTGTAGGCCGTCTCAAAGACCAGGGACTGGATCCTGTTCAGACGCTTCATCCCCTTGAACACCAGCTGGGCGATCTGAGCAAACAAAGGATGAAGAAGAGTTAACGCATCATTGCAATGTACTCATCATACAAAACCCTGTAATGGATATCATGTAGTAATCAAGCTTATTTTTATGCAATATCTCTTGGCTGTATTTGTGATATACGTTTACAGGGCACACCTAAATAAAGGTAGAACAAAGTAATAAAGAAAAAAAAACAATACATATACGCCTCCAAGAGAAGAATACAAAAATTGCAGACACGGCCCCAAAATAACGCTAAGATACGCCAAAATACTAAGCTTATTTAGAAACACCCCAACGGCAGACAGGGGTGTTTCTGGCCCTGGGGTGACGCCAGAAGCAGGCGAGGAAGTAGTTTGTAGAAGTAGGAGGAAGTTCCTCCTCCCCGGCTTCTGGTGTCGCAGAGCCGGGGAGGAGGGGCCAACTTTGAATGATGTGTTCACATACCGCAATAGAGAAAATAAAACATTTAATTGATTATCAAAATTGCTGTGTGCTGTGAACTAGGGCTGCACGATTACAGAGAAATGATCAATATTAATATCGCGATTACTTATCACGATCATTCATCGATTTCCGACAGCACTCCATTCACCTTCATGGTGTGCTTGATTCCTGCTAAAGTACTAATTGCATTATGTGTGCAGCCCCTCTGAACTACGGGGTAATGTCACCAGTAGTCAGCTGCCCACTGGCGACAGAAACACACTGCAGAGTTTTCTACTAGGTGTGCTGACATGTACACAGCCAGGCGATCACTTACAGATTGTGTCACCATGTATGAAGTGACTGCACAGAAAGAGGAGCAGCAGGAGGCATTACGGAAGGAAATGTGTGTGGAGGATCAGCTGTCAGTCAGGCTGCCTGCTGTCTGCCTTCACTATGGCAACAGAGTGTGGCTGATGGCCCTCAATCTCACACTGCCTCTGATAAGGAGAGAAATGGCCACTGTGAAGGACAGTGCCCCCCCCCCCCCCCCCACACACACACACACACACACACACACACACACACACACACACACACACACACACACACACACACACACATCGTACACAAGCAGGAGAGTGAAAACATACAGCTACTGCACAGGTGAATTATGGGTAAGGTTCAAAACAACTCATTCAAATATGATTGAATGGACATTAGCTGGGACTCCTTCCTTCAGGTTTCTTTGTCTTTCAACAGATAGAACATAAAACAGAAGTAGTGTAGTGTTCCCTGTTCAAAGGACAGGGAACAGCATGCAGCTCCTCTGGTGCTGAGGACAGCTCCGACAGAAACATTGTTCTAAAAGGCAAACAAAAAGGGATTGTTTGCAGTGAAAGTGGATCCTAAAATCTTCAGATGTATTACTGTATTTGTGATTTCTATCATCCTTATTTTCTCTCTTCTAAAGCATACTGCACACATACAAGATTGTGGATCCCAGAAATGTGATCTACTGTTTGTGTTTGCATAAGCACAGATGAGTGCAAACTGTGTGAAGTGATTCAGAAACACTTCAGGTTCAATAGTAACAAGATAAGGAGCTGATTTGTTATATTTCTGAGATATAAACTTTGAATCAATATGTGCTTTCATCAATTCCTCTAATGAGAAGATATGGATGTGACTTTTTCTCTTTAAAGATTTGTCATTTCCTATCGACGCGTACCCTTTGCTGTTCAATCAGACCAGCTCTCGACTCAACCGGAGGACATTGATGAACACCACACGTCCTCTCTGGAGGTGCTCTGCTGTAGTGGAGGCCTGTGACAGTGTGTGGCAGAGCGACACAACTGCTTTGTCGACAGAGCAAAAACACAAGCAGGAAACAGAAAGCGGTGGAAGTGTATCTTCTGTCGTGATAGGTTGATTCCTTTAATCCTGAATGAGTGTGCTCTGGAGAACTAGCGGGGCGGTAGGATCTCATACACTAGAGGTCACTGTAGTTCCAGGTGTGTTCTCTACCTCCATATCTATTTTTGATGTTTTCTCCATCAGTGTACCTTTCTGAGCTTCCTCTGCGTTCCACCTCTCTCCCAGTAAAGCTAGTTGCAGATGCCTTTAGCTTAGACAGCAGTATTATTTATTCAAGGATTCATTAGTATGTCATCACTTTCCCTTCCCCTCGTTTCGCTCCAACACTCATAGAAAGAAATAATTAAAGAGTGCATGTCAGCCGAGGATATGCGGGGTGCTGTTCAGAGCCCAGTAGGGGAAAGAGGTTATTAATGCATCAAAGAGCAACTTTATTAGAGTCCACTTAAGCTCGAAGGAGTGCAGGGAGGCTGTGGTTGCAGCTAGGTGCCGTGTGGGCCGGAGGGCTTCTGATGAGCAGCTTGGAACACCCACTGATCTATACACTGTGGTAGTTTGGCTGTTTTGACTGCTGATTAACAGCAATACCCACTGCCAGTAATTCAACTGATTTCCTACAGAAAGAAGAGTCAAACTCACAATGTGTGCATAGTCACAAGAAGTTGGCTCCATGTGCATGTGATGGGCATCTGATATCCCTGCTTAGACAATAGCTCCACTGGCAAATGCAAATGGACAAGAAGTTGATTACAGCCACACAAATCGTTCCACTTCTGTCCAAATATCATCTGAACAGATGCAAATTCAAACAGCTCATGTTTTTCAAAAATTATTACACCATTGCTTATGCCACTGGTAAATTTGTGTTGCATTTTGTCACCACTTTTGGAGAGCTTGTAACTGTGCCAGTTCTATATCTCGACCTTGACAAAGGTTGATCACTAAGAAGGACAGAACGTTTTTATACACATTTGTGTTAGCTGAGAGCAACAATAGTAACGGGACCTGTACAGGGATTCATCTGCTGTCCAAGAACCAAGTGAAGCCAGTAGTGGAAGTGTGTTAAATCTGCATTCTCTCTAGTGTCCACCAGGGGGCGACTCCTCTGG